TGGTCTGTGTTTATACCTTCAGAATCTCATTTCAGCTAGAAGTGCTAAGATTGATAGTACTGTACAACAAACATTTGAGGTTAAATGTCATGATGCTTTGTTTAAACACAGCAGAAAAGGTGCTCTTCGTGGCCAGCAAGTTAACTTGTGTGGTTATCCTCTGAAATAAAAATTAATGTAGTTAAAGTGGTTGTCATTTGACTTTATTCTCTGTAAAGCAGGGCAATTTTATGGGATTTGCGTCTCCTTCCACCTAAGGATCCAACTCAGTTTTAACAGGTTTTGCATCAATCACTTTACTCGCTGCGTCCTTTTGGCTGTCTCCCTGCTTTATTTTTATTAATTATTATTAGATTTGATTTTTATTTTTCAAGATGGGTTCTTTGTGTAGCCCTGATGGTCCTGGAACTCACTGTAGACTAGGTTGGCTTCGAATTCACAGATCAGTTTGTTTCTGCTGCTTTTGCCTTTAATTCTGAGTGCCGGGATTAAAGGCCTGTGTCACCACTGCCCAGCTCTCATCTTTATTTTTAAAGATAAGGGTTTCTGTGGGTAAGGAGGGGGGCGGGGAGGGACGGGGAATCAGACACTATTGAAGGTTAAGAACATGTTTGAGGAAGAAAAAAGTATCTGAGGCTTAAAAAAATGATTGGAATACACCAAGATCAGGAGCGGTTCTGTGCAATGTGGATTATAGGTATGGATAATCTAAATGTGTATGCATGGGTGTTAGTGCACCATGTGCTCAAGGAGGCCAGAAGAGAGTTTCAGATCTCCTAGAACTGGGGTTCAAAACAGGAGTGGACCACCTTGTGGGTGCTGGGAGTCAGTTCTTGTCCTTAGCAAGAGCACCCAGTGCTGGAGCAGTCTCTCTAGCCCCGGACAAAACATTTTCAATCTTCCAGGACTTGGTGTTGATTGGGTGTGGGAATGCAGAGAAGTCAAGTAGCACAGTGCTAAGTGTTATGTTGCTGACTGAAGCAGAAAAGGCATAATGTGTGCTGGAAGGAGGTAATATTTAGATGAGGGGGTGGTCGTGAAGCTTTCGTAATGAAGTGATGACCAGAGCAAAGACAGGGTGAAAGTGAAGGGAGTTCCTGCTAGATCCGAAAAGCCTGCTGAGAAGAGACAGCCCGAGACCCAAATGGAATGGAGTGGCTCTTGGGTCCTTTTGGGGGCTTTTGGAACTACTCTGGGTTTTGCTCTCAATGAGGTGAGTGATGTGGGAACCACTGCAGGAGTTTTACCTGAAAACAGGCAAGGTCTGATTCATATTTCAAGCTTGATTCAAAAGTATTGATAAGGAAACTAGTAAGGAGGCTACAACAACAATTTAGTTCGTGGAGGACGTAGTTTGGATCAGTGACCTAGGCTATGAAAAGTGCTTAGAGTCTGTGTATAGTTTTACAGGTTAAAGGCCTACCCTTGAACATTTATATTTGTAGTTTTTATTTTTAGCAAAAATGGAAATACTGACAGTATTAAAAATATTCAAGGGGGCTGGAGAGATGGCTCAATGGTTAAGAGCACTGACTGCTCTTCCAGAGGGCCTGAGTTCAATTCCCAGCAACCACATGGTGGCTCACAACCATCCATAATAAAATCTGGTGCCCACTTCTGGCCTGCAGGCAGAACACTGTATGCTTAATAAATAAATAAATCTTTAAAATAAATAAAAATATTGAAGGTTGGCCTACCATCTAAGTTGGTTGTTTCAAACAACCACATGTAACTCCAGTTCCAGGGGGAATTCCTTACATATACACACAGAGACACATACGTATAGTTTAAAATAAATTAACTCTTCAGGAAAAAGTATTGAAGCTAACACCAACAGTGCTCTGTATATTGTTTAGCATCTTCTTCAGTCTACCCAGGGGCTAGACAGGGGTGAGACATCATACCTTGCAAGTTTCTCTTCTCATCTGTTCTTTTCCTAATTATTTTTTGTTAGCTCTAATGAGTTTGTGGAGAGTCACGTAAAAGCCTTACATTGCTTGAGATGGAGGTTGAGGCGTGACAATATTTAGATCTTGGATGTCCCAATAATACTAGAGAGAGTTGTACTGTTAGAATAGCAAAGGACAGGACCAGCTGAAGAACTCTGACACAGAGGATTAGCGAACTGTTAGACCTCAGTTCTCTTAATGCCACGGGGTAAAGGCTTCCTTTGTGAGATCCAAGGCTTGAGCACAGTAGGCAGTTCCCTGGGTGCAGTCACTGTCCAGCCTCAATTGCTTTTACTAAGCTCCAGAATGCCATGCAGTCGTTACTAAGTCCCCTCTATTTAGGATTAGGAAATGCTCCAATTAATTGCCTCAATCCACAATTCTATGTATTTAAATACTTTTGTCTGGAGGGGTGTATTAAACCGGGTTGGAATATCTCTGGATAAATTGTTTAAAGAGATGCTTAAAGTTATCAAACAGTTTTGAAAAATTAATGCCTAAATATATAGTGCTTGAAAAATTTATTTTTACAAGTCTCTGTTATTGGGTCACTTAATGTTCATATTAATTTTTTAGTGGACTCTTTCAGATAAATGACGAAGGCAGAGAAAATACTGACTTCAGATGGATTGCCAGATTCCTCCTGTAACATTTAGAGAAAAGCTAGTGTGTGGTGGCAAAGATCCATCCAGCAACTGGGAAGACTGCAGGAAGGAGTCTGAGCTGTAGGCCAGCCTGATCTAAAGAATTCCAGGTCAGAACTAGATGGTGAAATCCTCTCGGAAACCAAAGAGACAGGCGGTTGTGGCAGTTCTAACCTCAGGACTAGTGAAACACATGCAGATTTATCGTGGTTGGATTTACTTCATGTGAAAAAGAAATATCTTTGTCACATTAGGAAGCTCATAGGAATATAAAAAGTGAGCGGTTCAGAATAGTTACCCATCCCCAACCTTTTTGGATCATACCCACTATTTAAGTAACCAGCACGTTCCAGATAAGGTTACAGATCTCATTTAAGACTAAGTGAGTGGCTCTGAAAAGAGCCTTTGGGTTAAGAGCGAGACGGGTGCGCTCACTTGGAGCTGGTGTACTTGGTGACAGCCTTGGTGCCCTCGGACACGGCGTGCTTGGCCAGCTCCCCGGGCAGCAGCAGGCGCACGGCCGTCTGGATCTCCCGGGACGTGATGGTCGAGCGCTTGTTGTAATGCGCCAGGCGCGACGCCTCGCCCGCGATGCGCTCGAAGATGTCGTTGACGAACGAGTTCATGATGCCCATGGCCTTGGAAGAGATGCCGGTGTCGGGGTGGACCTGCTTCAGCACCTTGTACACGTACACCGAGTAGCTCTCCTTGCGGCTGCGCTTGCGCTTCTTGCCGTCCTTCTTCTGCGCCTTGGTCACGGCCTTCTTGGAGCCCTTCTTCGGGGCGGGGGCCGACTTTGTTGGCTCAGGCATGTTAACCTACTCAATAATGTCAATTAGCAACGTTCACAGAAAAGCGAACACTCTCCTTATATAGATTTCCATATGCAAATGAGGGGAAACATTGAACGAAATCTTATTGGGTGTCTGAAGTTCGTTTTATCCAATCACAATAAAGATTTCCAAACCCGTACTTCTATTGGTTAACATGAAAATAGACGTCTAACCAATACCACGGCTTCATTTTTAGCGCCACTGTGTAAATATAAAGATTGAACCGCTCTTCCAATTGAGCCGGTAAAGTATTGTACACGTTTACTTCGCGATGTCTGGACGTGGCAAGCAGGGTGGCAAGGCTCGCGCCAAGGCCAAGACCCGCTCCTCCCGGGCCGGCCTGCAGTTCCCCGTGGGCCGCGTGCACCGCCTCCTCCGCAAGGGCAACTACTCGGAGCGGGTTGGCGCCGGCGCCCCTGTGTACCTGGCTGCCGTGCTGGAGTACCTGACGGCCGAGATCCTGGAGCTGGCTGGCAACGCGGCCCGCGACAACAAGAAGACGCGCATCATCCCGCGCCACCTACAGCTGGCCATCCGCAACGACGAGGAGCTCAACAAGCTACTGGGCCGCGTGACGATCGCGCAGGGCGGCGTCCTGCCCAACATCCAGGCGGTGCTGCTGCCCAAGAAGACCGAGAGCCACCACAAGGCCAAGGGGAAATAAGACAATTGAACGTGGCTTTTTTTTTCCCCTTTAAAACAAAAGGCTCTTTTCAGAGCCACCACCTTTTCATATTGAGAGTATGGTAACCAGAACCATGTTCTACTTAACATATCCTAAGTCCCTTATGTCATTGCGAACTGTCGAGCCATATCCAGATTTATAAAACCAAATATCAAGGTAGTTAGTTGTATTAAGTTTTGAAGGTCAGGCAGAGAAACTGCGGATATCGCACTGACATGCCGGTATACTTTACACACAATTTACCTTATTCAGCGCACTACCTAGTGACTTTCAAAATTGATGTTAGGAGGCCGCTAGGATTGGAGAAGTTACTGTCAACCCAAAGGATTTTGTGGAAATCGTTAGGATAAGGCTTTATTTAAAGTGACAAGCAACATTCAGAGGCCAGCTCACGTGTCTTACCCTTATTTTCATACAGGTCTGTTTACTGGTCACATTCCAAATACTCTAGGACTGACTACAACATTGCGGTCCAGCAAGTAGAACGGACGGAAAAATAAATGCCAAGAGAGGGTGACGAACATGGTTTTCAGGAATGTTTTTGGCATCTAGAGCGTCCTATTTTAAAGTAGGGATTTCTTGTCCTTAAATTCTACAAGCGGTTACATACCGCGTGCAGCAAAATTTAAAAATGATCGGGCATGTTAAATGGCTTTAAGCGGTTAGAACATTTTTTTTTAGCATTCTAATAAGTGTGCAAGAAATAGCCAATCACCGTCCGATGTCCTCCGCCAATAGTAATATTGCGCGGGACTTTTGAAAAGTATGCAATCCTATCAGATTGTTTCTCTGTGGGGAGGACAGGAAACACAAGCGGTTGCGTGCGTTTGCGCGTGTGCGAACATAACCCTATATAAAGGCAACCCTGGTACAGTTTAGGTACCTCATTTCTTTTCTTATTGCTATGGCTCGCACTAAGCAGACCGCTCGCAAGTCCACCGGCGGCAAAGCCCCGCGCAAGCAGCTGGCCACCAAGGCCGCCCGCAAGAGCGCCCCGGCCACCGGCGGCGTGAAGAAGCCCCACCGCTACCGGCCCGGCACCGTGGCGCTGCGCGAGATTCGGCGCTACCAGAAGTCGACCGAGCTGCTGATCCGCAAGCTGCCGTTCCAGCGTCTGGTGCGCGAGATCGCGCAGGACTTCAAGACCGACCTGCGCTTCCAGAGCTCTGCCGTCATGGCGCTGCAGGAGGCCTGCGAGGCCTACCTGGTGGGTCTGTTTGAGGACACCAACCTGTGCGCCATCCACGCCAAGCGCGTTACCATCATGCCCAAGGACATCCAGCTGGCCCGCCGCATCCGCGGAGAGAGGGCGTAAATCCCTTTCCTACATAATTGCTTTTAAAGGCTCTTCTTAGAGCCACCCACCATACAAAAAAAGAGCTGTATTGTCTTCCTTTTTTCAGCATAGTTCCAATACCCCAAATTATTTTATTAATTTTTTTTTTGTTTTTTGAGACATGGTTTCTCTGGTTTTGGATCCAGTCCTGGATCTAGCTCTTCTAGACCAGGCTGGTCTCGAACTGCGATCCGCTTCTCTGCCTCCCTAAGGGCCTGCGCCACCACCGCCCGGCTAATACCCCAAATTATTTGTAGAAGTGTTACGTTTGCGTCAATTTTTTTCACAAGTGACACAGAAGTATTTGCTTTTTGTAAAAGGCTCCTGAGCCTTCCTTGCTGTCTTAAATGGCCTCCATACTTAGTCAATACTGGCATTAGGACACTCAGGATGTGTACTATGATAAACTAAGGAACTGCAGAATGTAAAGAAAGACTCTGCATTGCATTTGTGACCCACCTCTAAAGGACAGAACCATTAAAGTTGTAACTGGTAATTTGTTTACCCAGATTTCAAATGATAACTGGTATTTACCAATTACTTCATCTTCCCTAGTCTACACACCAATAAATTCCTTAGCAATGCCTTTGGGTACCCCCTCCTTAAAAGGTTCAGCTGGGTGGTGGTTGCGCACGCCTTTAATCCCAGCACTCGGGAGGCAGAGGCAGGCCGATCTCTGAGTTTGAGACCAGCCTAGTCTACAGAGCTAGTTCCAGGCCAGGCTCCAAAGCCACAGAGAAACCCTGTCTCGAAAAACAAAAACAAACAAAAAAAAAAGGTTCACTAGCTTTGTATCCCAGAATGGTCTTGAACTGGGAGATCTCTTCCCCCTTCTGCTAAGTGCTGGGATTAAATTAAAGATGTACAGCATTGTCCCAGGCCTTTTGTGCTTTTTATTTTTGAGATTCTAATATTTCATGTTTTTTTTTTGTTTTTGTTTTTTAGTTACTTGTGTTCAGATATCTTAATTATTTAAGAAGCCATCCACCTGGTCACTGGATTTATCCTACAGGTTATAACTTTTTGTTTTAGGAAGGACCTTAAGGCTGGCTTTTAAGGAACTGTGCCAGTGACTGATGGAAGAAGACTTTGATATTTGGAAGCTACGATCTCCACCTAGATTATGTTCAAAACACTTTCTGAATATTATTTTATGAAGGACCATGAAGACTGATTAACTTTTGTTTGTAATCAACTTTCTCCACTCGAGAGCACTTTGATTTTATCCCGTAAATACCCTTTGGGCAGCTTTATTCCTTACTGGAGCCTTCACTCCAAGGCTTATGTGCCGTCTGCACAAGCTTTTTCTTTGTAAAATGCCAATGATTGACTTTCCCACGAGACAAAATAGTTGTTTCCTTTTTTTAAAATCAGTTTTTTTCCATTAAGTAGTTTTTCAAAATTCAGCAGACTTGGTAAATGAATATTTTGCCTCCAGTTGCATTCAGTTAGAAAATTTGGTGCAATACAGCTTCAGGATCGAATATCTATCTATCTATCTATCTATCTATCTATCTATCCATCTATCTATCTCGTACCTCATTGTGTAACACAGAATGATGGGATTGTGTGACCAGGCTGGCCTGAAACTCAAAGAGTTACCTGGTACTGCTCCCAAATGATGGGATTAAAGGTGTGTAACACAAGCTGCAGATATGGGATTTGAATCTTTCCTGACCTCCCTTCATCAAGCCTAGAGTGTCCTAGATGAGGCAGATGCCAAAGGGTGTGCATTGAAGTTCTGCTGAGAAACTACAGGTGGCTTTAAAGACATTGACAATAGAGCTTTGAAAAGGTAATTCTAAAGAACTGATTCATGACTCCACTGTGCTTATGCCTGAATTTTACCAACTCCCAAAATGTTACATTATGACATACTAAGGAGTAGTTTTATTATTATACTGTAACTACGACGTTCAGGAACAAAGGTTAGTGGTTGATCATGAACCTCGGGTATTTGGTCTTTTTAAAAGCAAGCACTGAAAACAATGAAAAATGTTTTATTTTTCAAAGCTCAAAAGATCTACTAACGGGACACAATAGATGGAGGTATGGGGACAGACTAGGTACCTACAAAATGTATCACTAACATCACTTCAAAAGCACTCTGTTCAGATTAACAAACATTGCAGTTGTTAGGCCAAACAGGACTGACCTACCAAACATAGGTAGTCTTGGCACTTTATCTTATGCTGCGACATCAGCATATTCAACCTAAAAGATTCATACATGTAAAAGCTATTTCATAAGACATTGTGGGTGGCTCTGAAAAGAGCCTTTGGGTTAAGAGCGAGATGGGTGCGCTCACTTGGAGCTGGTGTACTTGGTGACGGCCTTGGTCCCCTCGGACACGGCGTGCTTGGCCAGCTCCCCGGGCAGCAGCAGGCGCACGGCCGTCTGGATCTCCCGGGACGTGATGGTCGAGCGCTTGTTGTAATGCGCCAGGCGCGACGCCTCGCCCGCGATGCGCTCGAAGATGTCGTTGACGAACGAGTTCATGATGCCCATGGCCTTGGAAGAGATGCCGGTGTCGGGGTGGACCTGCTTCAGCACCTTGTACACGTACACCGAGTAGCTCTCCTTGCGGCTGCGCTTGCGCTTCTTGCCGTCCTTCTTCTGGGCCTTGGTCACGGCCTTCTTGGAGCCCTTCTTCGGGGCGGGCGCCGACTTTACAGGTTCAGGCATCTTCAGATCTCTTTCCACTCAAGAAAAAGAAAGTGAAGCCCGAGAACACGTTGTTTGTCTATTTGTAGGGGAATTCTATGCAAATTAAGACTTACTTTCTCCCTTTCTGATTGGTTAGCTGTTATAGAGGCCGGTTTACTCTCCCATTGGTTAAACCAGAATCTTGTAATACCCTTTCGAGCGATTTTGCTTCTTAACTCTACATCAAATTCATTTCCTTCCAAACGTTTTAGATTAGACTTTTTCAAAAGAGCAAATTTGCTTTATTTTGAAATTCTAGAAGTTTAGGCTCGCGTCCAATTCAATATCAAACCATTGAAAAGTTCTGTATTTTTCCACTTCCCCTAGTTCCCACGGCAGTACAGTTTAGTACCCTGAAATGAAAGCTCACAGTGAAAGTAAACGGTAGAGAGTAAATCCTTCTGATGACAAACGGTTCACCACTCTAGCGTTTGCTTTGAAGATACATACTTAATTCGGTTTTCTGAGGCTAAGGCAATTACAAAGCTTATGAATGTATTAAAAGGTAGACAAAATAGAGTGCCTGTTAGACAACATTTTTGTCTGGAGATGAAGATGCTCCCTTTCCTTCCCGCAACTATAATAATAAGGAAAAATACAAAATTAAGCAATGGCAACTAAGTTCTACGAATACTGCTTTAAGCTTCTCAGGAGTCGCCAAAAATAGCAGGAGTATCTCTTACTAATTTGTTGGTAAGCTAAAGTAAAAACTAAGGCACTTAGTGGCAACAATATATATCCGTATTGTTACATATGTATGGTATATTTAAGGAAGTAATATATGACAAAGAACCAGACGCCATATAATGTATAACACTTCTATTGGTTACAAATTTTAAAATTGAGGTCTGTTATCCAATTACCGAGCATTTCCGCAATCGTCATTCATGGCGTGGCCTTTGAAGGTTCCAACCAATCAGGAATACCTTGCCTTTATAAATTTGAACCAACACATTTCAAACTTACATTTCCCACTCCTATGCAATAATGGCTCGTACTAAGCAGACCGCTCGCAAGTCCACCGGCGGCAAGGCCCCGCGCAAGCAGCTGGCCACCAAGGCCGCCCGCAAGAGCGCCCCGGCCACCGGCGGCGTGAAGAAGCCCCACCGCTACCGGCCCGGCACCGTGGCGCTGCGCGAGATCCGGCGCTACCAGAAGTCGACCGAGCTGCTGATCCGCAAGCTGCCGTTCCAGCGTCTGGTGCGCGAGATCGCGCAGGACTTCAAGACCGACCTGCGCTTCCAGAGCTCTGCCGTCATGGCGCTGCAGGAGGCCTGCGAGGCCTACCTGGTGGGTCTGTTTGAGGACACCAACCTGTGCGCCATCCACGCCAAGCGCGTCACCATCATGCCCAAGGACATCCAGCTGGCCCGCCGTATCCGTGGGGAGAGGGCCTAATTCAAAGTTGCCCAACAGAAGAAACCCAAAGGCTCTTTTAAGAGCCAGCTTCACCTGTCTATGATGAGAGCTGTCACATTTTTGTGTTACAAACTTCCCGTCTTTAGTTTTCATTAATTTTCTCCCATAAGGTGGGATTAGCCATATCTTTGTCGTTGTCATTCGATTGTTTTAACCAATTCGTTATACTAAGTACTTTAACCCCCAGACTTTTAATCCTATTTTGTGCGTCGGGTACTCCAATATTAGTCTTGTGCTTTTGTCCCCCCCCCCCTCCTTTTCCCGCTTCTTATGAAGGCCCGGAGGCCACCGTAAGCGGAATATTTCCGGTAGACTACTTTGTAGGTGGAGGAGGCAGAGCAGGTTTGCAGCCGGCTGTGTTCAAGTATTTAAATCCCTATAGGATGGTCTTCACCCCTTTGTCCTTGACGTTTTTGCATCCAATTGTCACAGATTAATTTGTCAGTGCACGTCCAAATGCAGCAAGTAATCTCAAGAGTACGTGCATTAAATGATCCTTTACGCAAGTTTATAAACTAAGGGATTTACTCTCACTTGTGCTGCGTGTATGTGCCTAAATCTCGTTTCCTCCCTTCCTCTATCTTCTGTTTTCAATGAGGTCCTTCTTTACAGTTTTCCACTGAGGAGTTAACCCTATAACTATATATAGTGAATTTCCCTCCCGTACTCGTGTGCGGTCGGGGCTAGGACGGGAAGAGGGCCATCTACTCCTCGCCCGGCCCGGTGGCGTCAAGCGCAGATAAGCCTCGTCTAGGAGTAGGCGGGTGCTGAAGGTCTTCGTGGAACGTGTGCACCCACGCAGAGGATGCCAAGCACAAGACTGTCACAGACAGACAGGAGATGCGCTACAGCTGGTGCTTTGGGCCCAGTATCTTTCACAGGCTCTTATCAGGGATATGCACTTTTAAGGACTCAGACCTAAGTCCTGGTGACTCGCTAATGGAAAGAAGACTTTGTTCCCGCGTCTGCTTGTCTGTCACAAACTTGCATCTCCTTTATCAACAACCCAGTCAAAGATGGTTAATCATTTAAGGTTTTTCTATATTCGGATTTTGTTTTTGTTTTGTTTTTGTTAATAGTGTCATATTCCAGCAGCCTTGTTTTAATCTATAGCGATGCTCCTTTTTCTCCCACGCTCTGGGATGACTGTGTTAGAATAAATGTTAGGACAGTATACAGCACATGTAAAATACTATGTTTTGCTATTAAGTCTGTCAGATGTAACTTGCCTTGCTTTTGTTTAAATAATGTAATTTAGTAGCACTAAGCACTAACAAATCACTTCTTAAAAATATAGATCCTTGTCAGGTGTGGTGACACACGCCTTTAATTCCAGCACTTTGGAGGCAGAAGAAGAGGAAGAGGCAGGCTGATCTCTCAGTTCAGGCCAGCCTGTTCTACATATTTAGCTCCAGGACAGCCAGGGCTACACAAAGAAATGCTGTCTCAAAACAAAGAAAGAGACAGACAGACAGATTATAGATCCTCACCTTTCTCAATCTTGTTTCCAGTAAGGGAGCCTCTTAAATCCCGTCTTAAATGGAGCAGACACCAGCATCCACTAGAATGTAGAATGTTCTATGGGACACTTGTTTCTTTAAAAAAAAATCTTGTCATTAAGACAAGTGGAGTTCTAGGTTCTAGGCTAGCATGCACCTCAAGTTCTAGGTTCTAGGCTCCAGGCTAGCACGCATATCAAGTTCTAGGTTCTAGGCTAGCACGCACCTCAAATTCTAGGTTCTAGGCTAGCACACATCTCAAGTTCTAGGTTCTAGGCTAGCACGCATCTCAAGTTCTAGGTTCTAGGCTAGCACACATCTCACGTCATGTATATTGGGGTCATGGTGTTATATGTCTATAATTCTAGAATTTGAGTGGTGGAGGGAAGAACATCAGCTGTTCAAGTGAACTTCAGGAAAACAACCACTCTGTGGGCAGACCTAGCTTTATGGGACCTTGACTTAAAATAAAAAAAAAAATAACTGGGGTAGGGGGTTATAGTTCAAGTTTAAAACAGACTTGAACAATATAGTAGCCAGGCAAAAATACTTAATTGATTTATGGTTCCCAAGAGTTGTCACACTTAAATAGAGAAAACAGATGTGAATTGGATGGCATATTTGGGGACTTTTTCTTTTGTAAACCTTACTTTTGTTTTTCACTATAGATGACAATTATGGAGTTTCATGTTGAAATATTCAGGGATAAAATTTTATGTCTTGAAGTTTACTTTCAAATGCTTCAGACCAGTAAGTCACACAGACACACAGACACTGACATACACACACACAGTATAGTAGTTGCTGGTGGAAGATAAAATTATGTATCTGATTTCATTCACTATTTTTATTAAAATTTTTGGAAATTAAATGGGTGATAAAACTCTTTAGTGCTAGCTCATAAAAGAGAGCAAGGTCCTCTTAGCAGGTAAGTAGAAAAGGACTACCTACCTCTGATGAAACTCTAGAAGTTGCATGGTTTACTGCTCCAAGGTGCTAACTGTGGGCATGAACATTATTATCCTTGTCCCAGGGCTTGATTCTGAAGTGAGTTGGAGTGGGAGGATGTACAAAGGGGGCATTCCAGGCGATACTAGGAAAAGTTAGGGATGTCAGATTACAAGGAAACAAGGGACAGTGAACAGTTTAATACCGTGGCTGTGGAGAACAGGTATGTGAGGGGGGAGTACAGACCTGCTGGTATTGAACAAGGAAGGTTTCTTAGAAATTGAGAAATTCAGAGCTAATCTTATGCCTCCCAGTCTATTGGAGTGAGGTGTGGAATGACCCAGGGGTTTGTCAAAGCTATAGCTCACCAACCACAGAGACTCAGGCATGCCAGACTCTGGCACTGACACCCAGACCAAAGGACAGGGCCCAGCGCTCACTTTTTACTAGGTCCTGCCCTTCAGCCTTCTCAGACTCACAGTAAAACTACGTGTGTCTATTACTTTCAGGCTTTCTTCAGTTAGTACACAACCGTTCTGGCTCCTGGGGTACAGACCAAGTTTCACCACACTATATGGACTGATAAACAAGAATATATATTAAACATAAAATTGTACCTTATGGCTAGAATGTGGACTCAAAGTCTAGACAGAAAGCAAGTGTTTTTGTATGGGGTCACCTTGCTACTTAGAACTAAAGTTGAGGTTTTCTGAGAGAGAGTTCTAGTAAGAATGACTAGATGGTGAGTTGTTACAGAGTGTTTTTAAATCCCAACAGTCTAATAGGATTCAAAAAGTATTTTTCTTCAAAGCCAAGGTTTTGCTCTTAATTGCAATTCTACATGGGTATTCTTGCTCAAAAATCTCATTGCCATATTGCAGGCCAAAGAGATCTAGAGGGAAGCCAGTTGTGTCTTTACATCCTCTATTTTGTCTGAGTATCTATTGTGTGTTAGGTTCTTTAACTGGCACTGGCATTACTTGGTCCAGGTAGCAGGGGTTAGACTCAAACACTTATGTTCTCAAGAAAGCAGACAAAACAACAAATGGACATATGGTAATTTCACTTAAAAAATATAGAAATGTGTTCAGTTTAGCCAGAAGCACAATTTTTGGGGGGGGGGGGGTTCAAGACAGGGTTTCTGTGGCTTTGGAGCCTGTCCTGGAACTAGCTCTGTAGACCAGGCTGGTCTCGAACTCACAGTGATCCGTCTGCCTCCCAAATGCTGGGATTAAAGGCGTGCGCCACCACCGCCCGGCTCAGAAGTACAATTCTAAGGCCTCTCTGGACACTGTACTGTACTGATTAAAAGGGTGAAAGGCTGATCACAAAGATGATAACCAAAGAAACCAGAGCCCAAATAAAGACGGAAAAAGCTGTGTGCTACTGAGCATGTAATCTTAACATTGGTGAATTAGGAGTCAGAAGAATGCATTTGGACCCAGTTTTTAGTAATTTATACCAAACTGATGTGCGGGGGCGCCTTAGATTTGGAGACACATTTTACATTACAGAGTAATACTCCGCAGCCTTTAAAGCTTAGTTCCCTTATGAGTACCTGGGCATTAACACTCATCCTTCCCGCAGTTTGGGCAATCTAACCATACTTAATGAGTCAAAGTCCCAGCTTGTTTGTAAAACAAACTGTTAAGCCATCTAACCTGTCAAGATTTCCGATGAGAAATGCAGCAAGCTCTTTTCAGGACAAAGTGGGTGGCCCTGAAAAGGGCCTTTATTAGAAGCGAACCTGACAGTTCAGCCGCCGAAACCGTAGAGGGTGCGGCCCTGGCGCTTGAGCGCGTAGACCACGTCCATGGCCGTGACGGTCTTGCGCTTGGCGTGCTCCGTGTAGGTGACCGCGTCGCGGATCACGTTCTCCAGGAACACCTTCAGCACCCCGCGGGTCTCCTCGTAGATGAGGCCGGAGATGCGCTTGACTCCTCCGCGCCGGGCCAGGCGGCGGATGGCGGGCTTGGTGATGCCCTGGATGTTGTCGCGCAGGACCTTCCTGTGGCGCTTGGCGCCTCCTTTGCCCAGGCCTTTCCCGCCCTTGCCGCGACCAGACATCGTTGCGAGGATGTGAGAATGAATCTCAAGCTGCCCAGGCGCCCTCTACAGCTGCTCTATATACGAGGACTGCGGACCTTTTAGGAAACTGAAAAGGCGCGGGCGGGAAAGTGCTTCAGTATCCGCCCCCTCTACCTCACTGGCTGACTTCTATTGCCCAGAGGAAGACACAGTCCCTGTGGTGTGGGGGGGAAATGTGAGTCTTGCTTTCCTCTAGCAGTTCTCAGTCACTAGTCTGTCTTTCAGGAGTGTTCTTGTGGATTCTGCTAAACATTCATCATTTGTAAAAAAGGAGGTTGTGGCCATACACTTGTCTACAAAATCAGACATAGCATATACTATAAGATTACCTTTTTAAGTGAAAGATTTAGAAAAATGTGAAGTCTCAATTTTCGCAAGTATTATTAAATCTGACCTGTCATGAAGATTTGCCTTTGTTAGAGGCCTACTTGCCAGCACAAGCTCCGTTTTCAAATCCTTACGAAGGGAGCTGGTATTGCTTGAATACATACACACACACACACACACACACACATGAATATATATTCAGTACACACACACACACACATGAATATATATTCAGTACACACACACACACACACACACACACACACACAGAGTTTTCTATCTCATGGAATGCTGTTTGAACTGAAAAGATGAAGACTCGCCCCTGCTGGAGATCTATTCCTCTTTTAATAAAAGCTATTGCTGCCAGGGGAGGATACTATGTCTCATGGCCTTGTCTGTGCCAAGGAAACAGTGAACAACACTTGCAATTTAAACAAAAAGAACACCGAAATCCTGTAAAGTAAGACTTCAGTAATCCGTGGCTGAAGTAAGGCGGTACACACATCACTGCTATGTCTGATACATGAGTCTATGTTTTCTCACACCACACAGTTTGGGTCAGTGTCTTTTTTGCACTACAGAAGTAATTATAATTGCTTTTTTTTTTTTTGGAGCCAGTGGAGTCTTGAAATACACACTAGTCCAGAATGAAATCAAACCTGAGGCAAGTTTCCTTCTTACGTCTGTAGTGCTGGTGTGAGCCTCAATCTTGTCTGGACAGGGAGGTCATCTTGAAGATGTGCTTTAGCTAGTGCTTGCCTGAGAAACTTCTGTGATGTTGGAAGATTATACGTATATATACACACATATATGTATATATATATGCATATATACATATATATGAAATCCCAAACACTCAGAAGGTACTTGGAATTTACCTTACCCCAATTAACCCCAGAGATCTCTTACAACCCTTTATAGAAAGGCACCAGTTGTCCAAACCATTGACTGTAAATGCCAGAATGCCCAAACTGTGAGGACACCAGGGTTAAACAACAAAGTGGCATCCTCTCCCCCACCTAAAGAACTCAAAGGCCACTTAAGGGGAAACTAAATTCGGGTGAGGTGTCGGATGTGGCATCAGCTCAGCATATCCCCAGACGCTGCCTAGTTCCCCAGTGAGGCTGCACTATCCCAGCTCAACTACCCTAGCTCTGTGGATCTTCCTGTGAAACCTGTTAAACGGACTTTCAGTTATGCAGGTTGTGGGTGGGAATGTATTACACAGGGGATTCCGGGCTTTCTAAAGACCAGGCTGGTCTCAGATTTAGAGATCCACCTGCCTCTGCCTCCAGAGTGCTGGGATTAAAGGAGTGGAGCCCCACTACCTGGCTGAAACTCATTTTATGCATCCACCTTTTCCTGCAGCTTTTGAAAGTCTTTAGATTTTAGGATGCCCAAGAACCTGCCCTGTAGGAGAAATCATGAAACTGCTATCTCTCAGCTGTTTCTATGGAAATGGTGTACATTTGTGTGTGTCTGTCTAACATGAAATCCATAGAAGATGAAGTCGTAAGTTTCATGGCTGTCATTTAGCTTAGGAAGTTTTTTATCATCTCTTTTTAATCTCTATAAAACATTTCAAGGATTACTTAAGTGGATAACCTCCTCTTTCAGGATATAAGTAGATTTTGGATTCAACAAAACAATCTCTTCGATGTTACCCTCCAGAATAACGAGTGAAAACTGAGTGAAGGCTCTCGTGGTTTCCAGTTTGTGGTCCCTGTGGTTGATTCAGGGTTTAAGAACCTCCTTCTTGCTAATTGTAGTCATGAGAAGTAGCCAGGCCACAGCAGTCACAAAGGTAACTGTACGCAGTATGTCCTCTCTCTGTAAATACATGGAAGATTTCTTGGTGAAGTCAAGTGTTCTGTAATGTCTTACATCCAGGAGCATCAGAGATTACCAAAAAATTAGGAACCAGTATTTAGTGGTTCTAATATATGGGAATTAAAACAATTCACGGTGCCCAGTAAGACTTGTGCAAAAATGAAATGGTAACATATGCTAAGTGAATAAATATAAGTGTGCAACTCCAATAAGTAGTAAGCAACTGCTACCATGTTCACAGAAATGAATGCAGCTATGAGAATTTTCACATTGGAACTTTAATCATGTCTTCAGGTGTAGGCAGTGCAAAGGTATACATAAAACAGGAAGGGACTGCTGTACTCCTGGTGATGACTGCTGTGGACAGTGACGCCGGAATGACACGAACAGCTCCTTCCGTGTACCCGAAAAATGCCACATAAGGGAATCACTGAGTGGTTTAGATCTAGTCTGATCAGCTGAACAATTCTGTACATAGCATATATATTTTAATGACTTATATCATCACATGTTCTTATAGCCCAGAGACTTGATTGTTTTGTTTCTGCCGAATAAATGATCACTTTTCATCAGGCCCTGTTAGGTGTGTGTGGTTAGGTAAGTGTGCAGAGAAGATATCTTTAGCACTGACTAGTCTGTCTTGTGTTAACAACCTAAGGATATCTTTAAATCATTAACTTTACATCATAATGAGATTTGGTGAACATAAAGATTATTAAAATATAACACCAAAACACTTTTTTTATTTGCTTGACAAACTTGGATCTTCAGTGAAATGAGTATTTGATGGAGAATATTACCTTTCTGCTTCATTATCCAATAAAAATCCAACTATATCACCTTCATTTCATTGTAAAGTAACAGAAATAAGAGTTTTCAAGTCATTAATGCTTATTCTGAAATGTTCACGTTCTCAGGTACATACAACCAGCTAATAATGTTGCTTGTTACAGACTGTATTATATATGTAATAAAATCAGCAACCAGTATAAAAATTCAGAAACAAAACTTTTCAAATTCTCCTTATTTTTCAATATTGAAATTCCAATCATTTTGAAAGAGAGCAAACATGCAGGAAATGCAGTGATAAGCTTGGCAGGGGTGGAAAGCTTTACAACTGTGCTGAAGTCATGCGTTTTTTAAACAAGGAATGAGGGGTCAAGGCAGGTTATATCCCACTGTTCCTCACGTTCCAGTTGCTAGACTTATGTTCCTTCTTCAGGTAGGCTTATTTTTTCCATGAATGTGAAGTGCTCTTCACTGCTGTACTGACTGAAGAAACGTGCTCAGAGCTCTTGATCTAGAACTGGAACAGCACACACTCATCCCACCTCCACAAAATGATTAAATCAGTAAACCATGGAAATCGATCCGAAATTACACATTGGTATCTCAAATATCTTAAAAAACAATCGATATTTTATACAATAATTATTCCCCAGGCACGCACAACTTTCCCTTCTAGTTCCAATTCCTAGAGCTTGGTGCAGACAGCCCCGGGAGTGTCTGTGTTGTTGCTTCCGCGAAAAACCCAAATTTCCACACATATTTGAGTAGAAATGAGTTAATCTATATAATCTCGAAACGATAAGAATGTGCAGAACCATGTTCTGAAAGAAAAGTTTGCGAATGATGGCGAGAGTAATAGTATTTTTAAGGAAAACCTTAAAGTTGTCTCAATTTACGTGAAGTTTCAAAGAGAGTTGGGGCAATCAGAGATGTTTCAGGCTGCCGATTTTGAATTTAGCCGTACAAATTATGGCAAGAATGAAGCCTACAGGCTCCCGGATCAGTTTCCCCCGAGTCCCCAATTATTTCGTGCACATATTTCTTATATTTTTACTCTTTTTTAAGAGGCAACAAACACAGTCACAGGGCACAGCTGAAGATCCCTTCTCCGGCGGCGCGGCGCACGGCGCAGGGAACCAATCACCACGCAGCTTCTCTCTATATAAACCCAGAGCCTTCAGCAGTGGGAACAACCCTCTCTGACAGTTTGCGCTTACTTTTAGCTTTTTAGCAAAGGCACTAAACATGTCTGAGACCGCTCCTGCAGCGCCTGCGGCTCCCGCACCTGTGGAGAAGACCCCTGTGAAGAAGAAGGCGAAGAAGACCGGCGCCGCGGCTGGGAAGCGCAAGGCGTCCGGACCCCCGGTGTCCGAGCTCATCACCAAAGCTGTGGCCGCCTCTAAAGAGCGCAGCGGCGTGTCCTTGGCCGCGCTCAAGAAGGCGCTGGCGGCTGCCGGCTACGATGTGGAGAAGAATAACAGCCGCATCAAGCTGGGGCTCAAGAGCCTGGTGAGCAAGGGCACCCTGGTACAGACCAAGGGCACCGGCGCCTCCGGCTCCTTCAAGATCAACAAGAAGGCGGCTTCCGGCGAGTCCAAGCCCAAAGCCAAGAAGACCGGGGCTGCCAAGGCTAAGAAGCCCGCGGGCGCAGCCAAGAAGCCCAAAAAGGCGACTGGTGCTGCCACACCCAAGAAGGCTGCCAAGAAGACCCCGAAGAAGGCCAAGAAGCCCGCGGCTGCTGCAGGCGCGAAGAAAGTTGCCAAGAGCCCGAAAAAGGTGAAGGCAGCTAAGCCCAAGAAAGCAGCCAAGAGTCCAGCAAAAACCAAAGCTCCCAAGCCTAAGGCCACCAAGCCAAAGGCGGCCAAGCCAAAGGCCACCAAGGCAAAGAAGGCCGCCCCCCGCAAGAAGTAAAAGTGGCGCGTCCTACTTTGAAAATCTCAAACGGCTCTTTTCAGAGCCACCCACAGATCTCATTCAAAAGAGCTACACTCTTCTGGGTAATTGCCTCTTGTGGCATTGGTCAGCTGAGACCAGCTATACAGTTTGAAGCAAGGCAGTTAATTCTGTGCCAGCCCA